GACAGTAGTTAGTGGACATTAATAAGTGGAAAGTAGTTAGTGGATTGTTATTAGTGGACAGTAGTTAGTGGAAAGTGATTAGTTGACAGTATTAAGGAGACAGTGATTAGTGGATGGTAGTTAGTGGAGAGTAGTTAGTGGACAGCGATTAGTGGACAGTAGTTAGTGGACAGTAATTAGTGGACAGTGATTAGTGGACAGTAGGTAGTGGACATTAATAAGTGGAAAGTAGTTAGTGGATTGTTAGTAGTGGACAGTAGTTAGTGGAAAGTGATTAGTTGACAGTAGTTATTGGACAGTAGTTAGTGGACAGTATCTAGTGGACAATGATTAGTGAACAGCGATAAGTGGACAGTAGTTAGTGGACAGTAGGTAGTGGACATTAATAAGTGGAAAGTAGTTAGTGGATTGTTAGTAGTGGACAGTAGTTAGTGGAAAGTGATTAGTTGACAGTACTAAGGAGACAGTGATTAGTGGATGGTAGTTAGTGGAGGGTAGTTAGTGGACAGCGATTAGTGGAAAGTAGTTAGTGGACAGTAATTAGTGGACAGTGATTAGTGGACAGTGGTTAGTGGACATTAATAAGTGGAAAGTAGTTAGTGGATTGTTAGTAGTGGACAGTAGTTAGTGGAAAGTGATTGGTTGACAGTATTAAGGAGACAGTGATTAGTGGATAGTAGTTAGTGGAAAGTAGTTAGTGGACAGTAATTAGTGGACAGTTGTAAGTGGGCAGTATTTAGTGGACAGTATTTAGTGGACAATGATTAGTTGACAGTATTAAGGGGACAGTGATTAGTGGATGGTAGTTAGGGGAGAGTAGTTAGTGGACAGTAGTTAGTGGAGAGTAGTTAGAGGACAGTAGTTAGTGGACAGTAGTTATTGGACAGTGATTAGTGGACAGTGACTAGTGGACATTGATTAGTGGACAGTAGTTAGTGGGCAGGGATTAGTGGACAATAGTTAGTGGACAGTGATGAGTGAACAGTAGTTATTGGACAGTAGTTATTGGACAGTAGTTAGTGGACAATGATTAGTGGACATTGATAAGTGGACAGTGATTAGTGGACAGTAGTTAATGGACATTGATAAGTGGACAGTAGTTAGTGGACATTGATAAGTGGAAAGTAGTAAGTGGACAGTTATTAGTCGACAGTAGTTAGTGGACAGTGATTAGTGAACATTAGTTAGTGGACAGTAATTAGTGGACAGTGATTAGGGGACAGTAGGTAGTGGACATTAATAAGTGGAAAGTAGTTAGTGGATTGTTAGTAGTGGACAGTAGTTAGTGGAAAGTGATTAGTTGACAGTATTAAGGAGACAGTGATTAGTGGATGGACGTTAGTGGAGAGTAGTTAGTGGACAGTAGTTAGTGGACAGTAGTTAGTGGACAGTAGTTCTCAGTGCTATAACGGTATCACATGAACCTATTGAGGACCTATACTGGTAAATGCATGATTGATATACATGTTTATAGTATCTGTTTTTGTATTATTTGTAAGTTGCAAAGGAGGAGGACACAAATAAGACACACGGTGCTAGCTGCCATTGTCCTAACCCCAGTTCTGCTCCAAGACACAAGGTATAGTGTGACTGGTTGTCTACGTTATGAAATTAAAGTGATACTGAATTGTCTAGATATGAAATGGGTGTATGTTGTAATATATGGTGAGCTTGAGGTAAGAAGTTATAAATATAAGCGACAAGACATAAACATTGTCATGTAGCGTACTTACTGTGGTTTAAAAGGGAAAATATATCATTTAAACACATTGAACGGCCTCATTAACACTCAGATTAATCATAATAATATATATAGATATATGTATCGTTGTCGTTACAGAAACCCCCGGTATTAGAACAGTCCCCTCGCAACACTGTACAAAGTAGACGTAGAACCACTATGCTGGAGGGATGTAAACAACTAGGTATTAACTATACTGGCACTCTCCATGAGAGCAAAATCAAACCACATATGATATACGACCAGAAATCCAACCTGGTGTTCTGTGATATACCCAAGGTGGGCTCGACGTTTCTTAAACAAGTTCTTCACATTGTGGCTGGGCATCACCATGAAAAGGATCCTTTTAAAATGGACGGAACCGCAGTTCATAAGACACCCTTTACTACCTTCAATGCTATCCCGTACGACCAGGCACTCAAGCGCCTGGTTCACTCAGTCAAGTTCCTGTTCGTCCGAGATCCATTTTCAAGGATGCTATCGGGATATGTCGATAAACTTTACACAAATAACTACATATTCTGGGGCGTAACAGGCAAAAAAATTGTGAATACTCACCGAGCAAATGCATCGAAACTTTCCTTAGAATGTGGCCATGATATTACTTTTCCCGAGTTTATAAAACACGTGATCAGGTCTGAGACTTCCGGTAAAAATCGAGACCCTCACTGGTATCCCATGTACGACGCTTGTCGCCCGTGTAGTCTTGAGTATGACGTTATAGGAAAAATCGAAACATTCAAAGAAGATCTTAAAGACTTCCTGACAAGTCAAAAGTTACAGCATGTTGTTGATATTTCTAATATGGACCAAGGCAATGATAACGTGGCTGTCACAGTAACGGTCAACAGAGCGTTTGAAGCGGTAAGAGAGAGGCCTAAATGCATTCTTCTACCACATGCACTCGTCCGTGCATGGAAAGTACTTCAAATTCGAGGTGTTTTGAGTCAGTTGTCCGAGTTCCCGTATGATCTGATCAAGAAAAACCCAAAAATAACACAAGCCAGATTTCTAGATATAGTTGTAAAGGAAATGAAACAAAAGCCATTGAGCCAATCAGAGAAGTTGTTGTCACGGCAACAGGCAATGATTCACGCCTACAGTTCCGTCTCATCAGCAGATTTAGAGAAGTTTACCTCCGTGTACCATCCTGACTTCTCTATATTCGGATACAAGAAAGACATTGGAGAGAAAGATAAAAGGTTCCTAACGTGGGAACCGTTTAAACTCCAGTTTTGAATAGACATGTTTCGAAACACTAAATTATTCAGCACTGATTCAAACGTATCGCTAATATCTATCCACCAGGAGACACACTTTTACCAATGCTACAATCTATATATATATATATATAAGTTCAGTAATGCTACAATCTATATATATATATATATAAGTTCAGTAATGCTACAATCTATCTATATACATATATAAGTTCAGTAATGCTACAATCTATATATATATATATATATATATATATATAGAAAAAATAAAATTAACGACCGACTAAAAAACTAAAAAAACTAAAAAAAGTTTTTTAGTCGGTCGTTAATTTTATTTTTTCTATATTTACTTCCTTCACATGGACATTTAATCACTTTTTATTGCTTTAACTCTTCACATTTGTTCTTTATCACAGGAAACATATTACAATTCCGTGGATTGAAAGTAGAAACAAAAGGAACTAACTTTGATTCATCCTTTAGTTTTTGTAGACGGGAAGTAAAGGGTCCCTTTTCAATAGCTTTCTGTATACCATGTTCTATTATCTCAGTAGGATAACATTGAGCTTTAAGGTATTGCTTTAGTTGACTTAGTCTAGCAATTTGAGCTTGTTGGTCACTGACGATAGTGACAATCCGTGAGGCAAGATTAAATGGAATATTAACTTTAGTGTGTTTACTGTGGTTAGAGTAAAAATTTAGATAATTATGTGCATCTGTAGCTTTACAATATAAATCCGTTGTAATCTTATTTGAATCTAGTTGAACTAAAACATCTAAGAAAGGTAAAGACGTTTCGCTACACTCCATCGTATAACAAATAGAAGGATGTAAAGAATTCAATAGGTTTTGAAATTCATTTAAATCCTTATCAGAAGGCCATATAACAAAACAATCGTCAAGGAACCTTAAAAAATTATTTCTGATAAATTCAGTAAAGTTTTCCCCAAACTTTGTCTCAATCTTAGAATAAAGTGTTTCCTCTAAGTATCCTAAAACTAAGGTTGCATATGTAGGGGCAACTTTAGTTCCCATCGCTGTACCCTTAATCTGTTGAAAGTATTCTTGCTCAAAATAAAAAGAATTACGATTGAGGACAATGTCTAGAGCTTGCAGTATAAATTCATTACTAAAACGAGAATTAACTTTTTCTCGTTTTTTGATCAACCAATATTTAACAGCTTCAATACCAAGATCATGCGGTATATTAGTGTATAAACTAACAACATCAAAAGAAACAAGTTTAGCATTATGTGGGACCTGTTTAGATAAACGGCTCAGAAAATCAAAATCATCTTTGATATAACTGTTTACACTTGTGCATAAAGGTTTAAGAATGAGGTCTACAAGATGACTCAAACGTTGCGTTGCACTATTAGGGCCGCCTACTATGGGTCTAAACTTCAAATCCGTAGGATTTTCAACTTCAATATATGTACAGTTTTGTTCTTCTATAGCTTTACTTATAATAGAGCTTTTGTGGATTTTAGGCAAACCATAGAAATAACTAGTTTTATGCATAAAATTGACAAGATANAAAAATAGAACAAAAGACAGAGATAGCGTCTCTAGGCCTTTCTCGGGTTGATTCCCCGTTCATCAGGAGACTGTTTATTTTGAAAACAGGTATTGTGAGGTCATAGTTGTTTACACAAGAAAGTATGACGTCATCAATAATGCAAAGTCATTATGACGTCACAGAAGGCATACACATAAATCCATGACGTCAACAACAATACAAGCTAAATTGTGACGTTACATTACTTAGACAAATGCATAACTTTATGATCTTACCAACAATAAAAAATACGGGAGATACAAATTGTTTCATTTACGGCAACAATAAAATATGAACAATAATATTTAAAGCACAGCAATTGCTTAAAGCATGACACGTTGAATTTAATGTGAACTATTCAGACTGGGTTTCAACAGTTTCATTAACTCCGACTCCTTAACTTCCCTCTTTATCACATCAGATGAATGCATTTGGTAAATAGGGAACACTTTGAAGTTATTGTTAGCACAGTTATGAATATGTTTGTTCACTTGTAAAAATCTAAGGTCATCATGGATTGTTTGTTGCTTGTGAAGAGTCATTCTTTGACGTAGTTCACGCCCAGTTTGGCCAATATAAAATTCCAAAACTAAATGTAAATTACAGCGTGACAAAGTGTATGAAACCGAGATGTGTTTTTAAGAATGGCAAAACATTTGAAATAAGATGTAATATGAATTGTAAACCATGAAATGTTATATATGCTGTAATTTGTAAGAGATGCTCTGAATTTTACATAGGTCAAATTTGAAATGAACAACGTTAAAGAATGGCAGTCCATCATCAACAAACCAAAACTGATAGTTTACGAAATGTATTAGTTAACAAACATTTTTATCAGTGTTCAAAAGATAATTTTTTAGTTTTACCAAATGAACACAACAGATACTATTGCAAGAGAGTTATAAGAGAACATGTTTATTAAAATTCTAAAACAAGGCTTGAACCCGGGAACTTTCGAGCACCTCTTATGAATTTTAAATTAACAAATTCCGTATGCTTCATATGTTCGGACGAACTAAGTATTGTGCTTTGAAATTCATTTTTACTATCAGATGTTGTTAACTTTTACTATTGAACAATGTATTCATTTGAGCATTTGTAATATGCTCCGTTTCTTTTCCCATATATTTCATTGACGCATTAAATGCAAGTATATTCATGTAATCTTTTTAAGACGTCGCAATTTCTAGACGTCCGCATTGTGTGTACTTTGTATAGACGTCATTACTTTTGAAGTATGTGTATTCCATTTATGACGTCACAAATAAATTTAAATCGCCTGAACAGCCCCAAGATGGGCCTAAGTGCTAGCCGATTATACTAGTCTTCGTGTTTTGTTTTATTTATATGTTTGCCGTCACATGGACACTTAAAACTATTTATCGTTATATGTATATATTGTATATAATTGTAAGAATAAAAAAACGGAAAAATGATTTAAATTTTACAATTTCACTCAAAAAACTCTTCAGATGAAAGTTCATTTTAAAGAGCAATTCGTAAAGTAATAGCAGAATTTAAGCATTGAACTGTTACCATATGCAGTATACTGTCGAAATGAATGCAATGACAGATACATGGAATGTTGTCCGTTAGGTCGACATGAATATTTATCTGTCACTCAAATTGCATTCATATCGACTGTATACTGCATCTGGTAACAGTTCAATGCTTACATTTACATTTATATAGTTTGTTTTGCATAGTAACTGAAGTAAAAATACGTTTGAAGAAAATCCCGCTTGTCATATCAGTGACGTCAGTAAGTTCAAATCCAAGAACAGCCGAATTTTCCAAAAGAAATAATATAGTCCCTCGTGTCATTGCAAACCACACGCACATACAATGGTTTGAACTTTATTATTTATTTCATATGAGTGTGTATTATTATGTTGAAAAAATGTTAATAATTGCATAACTTCTGTTTGTTTAAAATTAAAGCTGTTTTTCGCGCATTGATAGATTACATGTTTTTTTTTATATATATATATAATGACTTTTTATCTCTTAGGCACATTTATAAGGTGGGCCAGGGTTGAAGAGCCCTGGAATCCCTCCTTGTACAAAAACAGGCCCTTACAAGAGGCATCTTTTCTATTCTTTCACTCATATCTGCTATGAAAAAGCGTGTGATTTTTATCAAAATTTCAAAATTTCCAAAACCATGTAACCCAGTGGAGGAATATCATCTCCCATTATCCACTCCCTTTTGTAAAGTCTTTCACATCATAGCTAATGTAAATGGCAGAACGTGAAACACCCAAACTGGATGCACAGTATCATTTTCAATTAATTCAGATTTTATGCTAGTATAGCTTCATTCTTTCATTCATCTCTCAATAACAAAAAAGGTCAAGGGTACTGATATTGAGCCTGTAGCAACGCGTTGATGAAGGGCTACCAAGTTTGTTCAAATGAATGACATTGACCCACTTTGAAGGTCACAGGGGTCGAATGTCTTAACATCTTCATTCTTGTCAAATAGTTACATTCTTTTTCAGTAACTATTTACATAGGATTTTTTGTAAAATGTTCACCAATAAATTAATACCCGTGTTTATATGCATTTTTTGTACTAATTAAGAGTCAAACACATTCTTTAATGACTCCCAGATATAGGAATACTTGTTTGAACTTTCTAATATTGAAATGTTTATATTTAAAAAATGTTCATATTTAAAACTTGTTTTATATTGTTTACAGTGTATTGATTATTTACAACAACATCATATTCAAATTTCAATTGATTTCTTGATTTCCAAATATACCATTCCGCTGTAAGTCTCATTAGATTGATAATTAGGTTTGCTTCTATGTTTAGGTTATAGCATCCGAACATTACATCTGTTTCAGAAAGTGTATAAATTAGTTGTGAAGGAAATATACTATTAATAGCTTTGTGTATATATGGTATAATTAATTTCCATATTCCTTTAGTGAAGTTACATCTATAAAACAAAGGTTGTTGTGTCTCGTGGTCGACATGACAGGAGTTAAATTTACAATCTGTAAGTCCCATCTTCATTAGCTTAAAATTAGTTGAAATTATGTTATGAAGACATTTCCATCGGAAATCTTTACATTTTCTGTCAGCAATAGATTGGTTAACTATGTTCCATATGCTTTCCCAATTAAATATTTCATTTTTATTAAGTGATTCCCAGTTTTGTTTAGCATTTAATTGGTATTATTTATCTAGTATTATATCCATCACTACTTTATTTTTGGTGGTTTTCTGGTTTTATGACAATGTTATGTTTTTTGAGTAAAACATCGCCTGATATTGCAAAATTACTGTCATCATGTACATAGATATTTGTTTTTAATTCTGTTATCCAAAACTTGGGTATAGATTGTTCAATTCTAGAAAATTCAGATATCCAATTTTCTTTTTGATGTAGATTTTGTAGTAGTGCTACTGATGAAATAAATTCATTGTTATTTTTTATCCAAAATGTCTCTTATTTTAAAAATACCTGATTTCATTCAGTTCTTAAAAAATAATGGCTTCT